CTGTCTGTCTGTGTCTGTCTGTCTTTATTCATCTCCCTTGAGTCTCTCTGTCTGTCCATCCATCCATCTGTCTGTCCATTCATCTGTCTATCTGTCCATCCATCAATCCATCCATCCGTCTGTCTGTCTATCCATCTATCTGCCTTTGTTCATCTGTCCATCCATCCATTCTTTTGTCTTTTTATCTATTTATCCATCTAACCATCCATCCTTCTGTCTGTCTTTTTCTCTTTTATCCGTCCATCCATGCATTCTATCTATCTATCTATCTATCTATCTATCTATCTATCTATCTATCTATCTATCTATCTATCTATCTATCTATCTATCTATGTATCTATCTATCTATCTATCTATCTATCTATCTATCTATCTATCTATCTATCGTAAAATAATGCAAATCTCAAAAAACAAAATAAATAGCTTTGAGAAATAAAAAAATTTGCAAACAAAAATAAAGAACTGCAATTAAAAATCAAGCAGCGCAATAAAAAATATAAAAATTAAATATATATATATATCAGTATTGTCTTTACAAAAGCTCTCAAGTCAATTAATGCTCATTTTGATTTGCAAGTTTTACTGCTTGTCAATTTAAACATGAAAAAACAGAGAATTTAGCTATTTTACTTGATCTCGATTAGATTTATGACAGCGATTCATGGCTGATTTCCTGTGTCGCATGCTGTACACACCCCAGTTCCTGTGACTCCGCCCCCTTGTCAAATCAGGGGCAGCAAGTGAAAAGAGAAAACAGCGTCGCAAACTCATGCATGACTGAAGAGCAAATCAAAATGAGCGATGCAACTGACTTGAGGTTTTGTAAAGGCAATACTGGAAAACAATATTTAGCAAATGTGTGTATACTTTAAAAAAATTGCAATACTATATATATATATATATATATATATATATATATATATATATATATATATATATATATATATATATATATATATATATATATATATATATATATATATATATATATATATGTCTATATATATATATATATATATATATATATATATATATATATATATATATATATATATATATATATATATATATATATATATATATATATATATATATATATATATATATATATATATATATATATATATATATATATATATATATATATATAATTGCAAAATCTAATTAGAAATATGAAATCATATATCATACACCAAACTCTTATTTAATTTAGTTACACTTTCAAAAATATAATTTTTATAAATATTAAATAATATTTGTAATACAGACTACTAATATAAAGACTATTATATTAAAATAAAAAATTAAATCTGGATTATTAAATGGATTACTAGTAAATTGAAATCATTTTAATTGCTAAAAATAAAATGAATCTTAACTGAATTTGGAAAATACAGAAGTATTATAACAGTATCTAAAAAAATATATATATATATTTGTATAATATTAAATTATTTATTCCAGGTAGTTGCCAGTTGCCACAAATATTTTGTTATTTTTATTTAGTTTAATGTCTTAAACTGAAGTAAATAAACTAAAACTGAAATGAGCAAAACAATAATGAGAAAACCCAACAGCAACAGTGGTGTGTATATATACAGTATATACTTTTAAATCTCCAGTATACAATGACAAACATCTTTAAACATATAGCATAAAAAGTTTTGTTATGGTAAAAATATAGTATTTTAATGTTATATATAGACGTAATGTGAGATCTTAATTTACAATGTTTATTTTGCTAGGGCACATGCTTTAAGTGAATAAACCATGCAAGTTAATCCACCTACAAAAATTGTTTTGCTAATCTTCACTCAAATTCTGACCATTTGCTTCCCTGTTTCAGCCACAATTTTCTTAACCACACCCCTTTTACCATTAGTTTGCTAAAAGAGAATGATGCTCAAAAAGAACACCACGCCTCCTAGTTAATATGCCGTTTCAGCTGGAAGAACATCAACATACTGGTAAAAAGACTCAGAAACTTCTAATTCACTCTAAGACTAATGGACCCTTCTTACATTTCTGGGTTACTCAGTAGAAGTCATCATAGTTGGGTAAACTTAGAGCGTAGTGAATGGGAGAGTACAAAAAATAGTCATTTTTACAATCCTATTTGCTCAAATAATAATAATAATAAAAGAAAAACTCCATGCTGGTGTTATCAAGACTTTCAGAAAAAGGAAAATAAATTGTGTGAGACTGATGACGGCAGCCAGAGGAGAGAATAACGGTAAATTACTGTCCTGCTCCATAGAAAGCGCGTTAAAAACACCTCGAATAAGCGGTAATTTGTTGTTTGTAATTTGATGCAAAGATGATATAATACATTCTTAAATACATATAAATATTTATTCATGTCTTTTTATCTAAATATTAAAAATGTTCAAGAATTTATGATTATGATGACCGTTAAACTCATCATAATAGTCTTGTGAAAAGAGCCCATATTCATAACCACGCCCCTATTACCATTACTTTGCCATGAGTGAATGATGCGCAAAAGAAAACCCCACCCCCTGCTTAATATTCCATTTCAGCTGGAGGTTCATCAACATACTGGAATAAAAGTCTCAGCAAATTCCAGTTCACTGTGAGATGAATATGACTGACCTGCTGTTTGTGTTTCAGCGTGTTGCTGCTTGTAACCAGCGGAGGGCGTCGTCTGCAAGCCGAAAGCCGAGTCTGCAGCTGCTGGACACTCCAGACGGTCTCCGTGATTTGGGGACCCTGGAGCTGATGAGTCGAGAGCTGGACCAGAGCGGAGGCTCCCTGAACCGCTCCGTGTCCTCAGAGTCGCTGTGCTCCATCTCGTCTGTGGCTCAGACCTTCGGGCATGATTTTACGGTGGGCCAGCTGGAGGTCACGCTGGAGCTGGACACTCGGGCGTCTCTGCTGCTCGTCGCTCTGCATCAGGGCAAAGACCTGCTGGAGAAAGAGGAGGAGAACTTCCCCGGATGCTTCATCACCGTCACACTCGTCCCGCAGCAGATCAACCTGGGGGCCACGCAGGTATTCATTCAATTTATCTATTCGTCTTTGTTTATATATCGCTTTTACAATGTAGATTGTGTCAAAGTAGCTTAACATACAGTTAAAATGATTTTCTTTTTCAAATATTTCCCAAATGATGTTTAACAGAGCAAGGAATTTTTCACAGTATTTCCTATAATATTTTTTCTTCTGGAGAAAGTCTTATTTGTTTTATTTCAACTAGAATAAAAGCAGTTTTTAATTTTTTAAAATCATTTTAAAGGTCAATATTATTAGACCCCCTAAGCAACATTTATTTTCGATTGTCACCAGAACAAACCATCATTTTACAATGACTTAATAACTTCAGGGTGCAAATTATACAATGACAATTGGAGGGGTCAACTTTTTCAGTCATGTTAGTTTTTGTAAAACATCCTTGAGTGAATCAAATGTATGTTTTTATTCAAATTACATCTAATTTATAATTACATTTTCAGTGTTTTGTGGCATATTTTGTATATTGTGACCTACAGTATCCGATTGGCTACTTCTGAGGTTACTTTAAGTCAAACTATGCATCTAATTTGACATTATTTTTAGGCTCTATGTAAAAACAAACAGCTATTTTACGAGAAAACTGTCTTGTGAACATTTATGTTGACTAATGTAAATTAGTTTTTTCTCACAGACTGATTATGCTTTCACAGTGGTATGAACCATTATAGGGGTGGACAAATGTTTATTTATATTATTAATCAGATTTTTAATATTACCATTATTATTAATATTAATAACAAAAACAGCAAAACCAAACAGCTATTTTACGAGAAAACTGTCTTGTGAACATTTATGTTGACTAATGTAAATTAGTTTTTTTCTCACAGACTGATTATGCATTCACAGTGGTATGAACCATTATAGGGGTGGACAAATGTTTATTTATATTATTAATTAGATTTTTAATCTTAACATTATTATTTAAAATACAAAACAGAGGTAATTCTTTCTCAGTATTAAAAAGCTGAACCCCCCTTTACATGGTTTGATGTCTTTCAGTGGGGATCAAGCGTTAATTAGGAAGGCCAATCCCCCCCAAACTCCCCTGTAGTCCACATCCTGCCTATCTTGCCTAATTAACCTAATTAGCCTTTAAAAGTGACTTTGAGCTGAATACTAGTATCTTGAAAATATCTTGTAAAATCTTATGTACTGTCATTATGGCGAAGATAAAACAAATCAGTTATTAGAATCAGTTATCAGGAAAAAAAACAAATGAGTTATTAAAACTATTAGAGAGGGGTCTGGCTGCAGACCTGGTGCAGTGCAATCTGGGCTGCATCCAATGCTTTTTAATGGGCTCACCTAACCCCAACCCTACCCATCACAGTGACATCACTAGCTCCACTTGAGTGCATTGTGTCTGACATTGCATCGCTGAGTGATGCAGTCTCAGCTTGCATCATAAAGGCTGCATCCAGATACTATTGAACTATTATGTTAAGATGTGTTGAGAAAAAATATTATTTTCGATATTTATATATTCGAAATTGGGGATGTACAAGAAGGCTAATAATTCAGGGGGGCTAATAATTCTGACTATAACTGTAGATGAAGCTCTAGTAAACTGAAACTGCTTCAGTCCAGTTTTCACAGTTGAAGTTCAGTTTAGTTCAGTGTAATGTAAAGGTCACTGCTGAAAGCCAAAACACTGAAGAGCAAATCCAACGATGCACAGGACAATTCTCTCATATTAAAGGCACTGCTGTATTTGTTTGTCTTATGTAGTATTTATCATAAATCTTTTATCTGTTTCTTTGTTGTCTGTCAAATAGTTCTTTTCTCTGATTAGTGCTTGCTGGCAAGAGATCCACCGATAGCAAACCACAACCATTAAATAAAAACCCATAGACAAAATCAAGCCCCACCCTACAGTTTTCTTGTTTGAGAAGCCATGTTCATTTCCCTGTAGTGATGACTTCTCATACAATTAAAACTCTAGGGTGGGACTTTTTTATTTTTATATT